GTATATAATTTATACTGAATTTCATAAAACTAGTACAACTGAAATATAATCTTATTATTATGTAGTCTTCAAATTATTTAAAGGTGATTCTGATGGATTTGAGAGAAAGATCCTAGAAAGAAATTGGAATAATAAGTAAACAGGTTAGCATTTTACTTTTTGTATTAGTACTATTGATTGTATATTTGCTTACAAACTGATTTCTGTTGTGGGAATAATAAAACAAAATACATATTCTGTCATGTTTGGTCACGTTTTCAAAGAGCCACTGCAGGGGGACCAAGGAGCCACATGTGGCCCCAGAGCCGCATGTTGCAGACCCCCTGAACTAAACGAAAGCCAACGTAGTGGAAAAGCATACAGCACATTCAGTATGAATTTAAAAATCATGGAAAATGGAAACAGTTTTAAAAGACCAACACTTGTAATTAATAATTACAATAATTAATCTTTTCGTCCTTCATCTTTTTTTTCTCATGTTTTCAGTTTGGAGTGTCTCCTTGTTTCTGCAGTTTTCAGAATCTGAAAACTGCAGAAACAAGTCATGCTCCCAGCCTTCAAACAATCTGATGTATTTTCAGATTTAAATGAGGAGAGAAGCAAGCTGTCTGCGTACATCTGGAGCCTGTAAATGAACTGATCTCACTGAGTCCTCAGGCAACACAAAACACTGACACTGCTGTCGTGGGATTTTTTTTTTTTTTTGCCGAGCAGACGAAAGCCCTGCTTCAAGTTCCAGTTCCAGTTTATAACTTGTGCAAATCCAATCAAATATTACTAGATCTGTGCTAAAGCTACTCCTCTGACATCACTGTAATCCAGACAGCCTGCAGGCCACGTTCAAGGGTCTCCACTGAACCAGCGTGAGGTCCGTAAAAAATCAGAAATCAAAATACAAATCACTTTGAATGTTTCTGCTTTTATTTTGAAATGGGCTTTTYGCAATGTTTCCATTTGAAAGTGAGTTTTTAAGAGACAAGCATAACCCCAACTAGAAATATGTAAAAATATGTCACAGTTTCAATTTAGGAACAGACAAATATGCAATCTTTCAATGTTTTTATCAGTTTTTTTTAACAGTATCTCATTCAAATAAAAATAAGCTTTTAAATACTCTGCTTTTCTAAGGATTTTCCTGATGGTCCATTGTTCCCTGCATTGWGTTCGCTTCAGCCTAATAGTTTTCCAATTCCCAGCCTGCTATCCACTAGTGCCCCCACCTGAATGTAAAACTAATGTGTTTTAGGACTGACAGGGGCACTGAAAAAACAAACTTTTGGGTGTAGTAACATTTATTTAATTATTCTTTTAAATTTTACAAAAAAATGTCAAAATCTCTAAACTACTAGAATTTACTAAATAAACGATACACATAATATTAT